CCACCTTGGTGTCGTCTGCAAATTTAACCAGTTTACTGTATGTGTTGGTGTCAGTATCATTAATGTAAATTAGGAACAATAGTGGTCCTAAAATTGAACCCTGTGGTGCCCTACTATGAACGCAGGCCCACTGTGACATTGTGCCTCTAATAACTCGCTGCTCCCTGCCAGTTAACCAGTTTTCGATCCTAGCTGCCACAGTTCCTAAATCCCTGCAGCTTTGAGCTTTAGCAAGAGCCGTTTGTGGGGGACAACATCAAAGGCCTCCTGGAAATCGAAGTAGATCACATCGTAGGCCTTTTTGTGATCAATTTCACTTGTATCTTCCTCAAAGAACTCAAGTAGATTCGTTAAACAGGATCTACCTCTCCTAAATCCATGTTGGCTATCCCTTAGAATGTTATTTGCATCCAGGTAATCTACCATTTTCACTTGGATTATAGCTTCCATTATTTTTCCAGTAATGCTAGTTAAACTGATTGGCCTATAGTCTATCCCCTTTTTTGAATATGGGTGTTAGATTAGCATGCTTCCAATCTGAAGGTACCGCACCCGCAGATAACGATTTGTGAAATATTAAAGTTAAAGGTTGGCTAATAATATCCCTCATCTCTTTTAAAACTACAGGTAAGATGCCATCAGGGCCCTGCAATTTATTTTGAGTTTAGCTAGGCTTAGTACCACATCAGTTATACATATATTGGTCATAGACGACGCTGTATTCGTACTAAATGGTGGTTAGTTACTCATGTTCTCTACTGTGAACACCCGTGAAAAATAATCATTAAACTCATTCACTATATCAATTTCATTTTCGATTATAAGGCCCTTACTATCCTGCAAATTAGTGATTTCAGCTTTTAGAGCTCTTTTGGAGTTAAAATATTGGAAGACACTTTTATTGTCATTCTTAGCCTCCGATGCAATTTTTCTTTCTACATCCCTCTTGGACAGTCTGTTATTTTTTAACTTTATCTATAGACTTGGATACTCCTGCTTAATTTTGAAATCAAGGCAATCAGGTGTGGCAACAAGTATATAGATCTGGAGGAATTGGTGTTCAGCACCTTTGATGTGGTCTGGTTTATGAGCACTCTGTTGCCACAGCGATGGCCTCTTGGCTCTGCAAAATGGCCCATGCCTCTCCACCACGGCTCACCTTCCGGCTCACGTGACCCTGGCTCCATGTCACAGGTACCAACTCGGAGTTGTCCAACGCCTCGGAGTCTGAGGACGTCAGTGAGCGGGAGCCGAGGACCCGTGGCACCGGTGGAGATGAGAGGGGCTCCCGACGGGGCGGCCGGGGACGCGGGGGCACCACGGGTGTGGTGCGGGGCCGCGGAGCGCCAGGCAGCCGGCCGGCAAATCACACCATCAGTTCTGGTGAGCTGCCGTAGCAGTTCCTTGTGGCAGAGCCTTGCCCTTGCAGCCGGTCGAGTCTTATCTGGCATTTCCTGTCTTGCCAGTCCTGCGGGACCCCGACAGCAACCCCTTCTCTTTGCTGGAGGGGGAGGGCGAGGCGGGCGGAGACACAGACGCCAGCGAGAGCATGGGTGGCGCCGGAGACCGCCGGAGACGCTCGCGCCGCCGCCGTAACGACCAGGAGCCCAGCGTGATGGATGCGGCAGCCGAGTCTGACGGCCAGGCCGGGACCAGCGAGAACGGGCTGGGTGAGAGTCGGCGGTAGCGGTGGGGGCCTCATTATGGGCAGGCGGGCAATACCAGTGGTCTTATCACCCCCTTTCCTTCTCCCCGTTGTCATAGATGAGGACGGCAAGCCCCAGCGCCGTAACCGGAGCCGGCGCCGGCGCAATCGTGGCACCCGCCCCGAAGGAGGCTCTCTCAGCCGCGACAGGCAGCCCGGTGAGTCCCTCGCGGAGCCCCTTGTGCTGTAACAGTGCCACGTGGCTGCGCTGTGGCATGGGGCACCGCCGGCGATGACGCCCCCTCAATGTGGCTCTCTTGCCCTCTGACCTGTCCTCAGTGACCGTGGCGGACTACATCTCCCGTGCAGAGTCCCAGAGCCGACAGAACCTGCCTCAGGAGACACAGGCTGCACCCGAGCTCAAGGTCTGTGCTTGTGTGCGTATGTGTGTCAGTGTGTGTGTTTTTTTAATTATTACATTGTGGGGACCTGATTTCCCCACAATGTGATTAAAAACCCGTAACTTTTTACCGTGTGGGGACATTTTTTCAATCCCCATGAGGATAGTCTGTTTTAAAATCTGTGGCTGCAATCAAAAAGCTAAAAATGCAAAATGTCTTGTGTTTTGTTTTGTTACGTATGGCTAAGGTTAGGGCTGGGTAGGGGTTACGGTCGTCATAGATGGGATTTGGGTTTTGCTGATAGAAATGAATAGAGACAAACCTTTGTGTGTGGAGGAGCTTTTATACACTGACATGACTACTTCAGGTTACATGGTAATATCTGCATGCATTGTTATGTTAAGGGCTCTTTTCTAACCCCACCCCACAGAACAACGGGAGCAGTGGCCAGGAGGAGCACACCCCTGCCAAGCCCCCTCCCACCAATGGCGTAACTGCGCCTGGCGAGGCGCTGGTCAACGGGGTGTCCTAAAAGGCCGGCCACATCCCTTCAGCCCTCGTCTAGAGCCAGACCTCATGGCAACACTGACCCTGCTTGCATTTACTTAAACCTTTAAAACAGATGAGTGAGGAAAAAAATCGACAGTGCTTCAGTTCATATGATTGAAAAATGACAGAGCATCTACTTAAAACACACGTATGTGTATGTTATTCTATCTATCAGTACTTAGTGCTTATTTAAAACTAGCTTGCCCAAAAAGAGCTGGTGGACGTGACTCCATTTATAAGATACTGAACACAGATACAGGACGTGACTTTTTTTTCCCCTTTGTTTTCCTTATGGGTCTTTTTTTGTTTACTGGTTTGGACTTGTGGTTGCACTCCAAGAGAACAGCTGTGTCTGTTACAGGTTCAGTGGAGGGGTGGGTGGGGGGCGGGGGGGGATATGTTACTTGGGGGTTGGGTGGACTGGGGCGGAGGGGGTGGAGACGACACTATTCGGTTTAGGGTCCGTTGTCTTGACGTCAAGTTACAGTGCGATAAACCGAGGAATGAGTGTGCTGGAAGAGACATTGTGCCTTGAATTTGAACACTTGATTTTTTTTTTTTTTCTTTTTTTCTGCCTTGGAGGAGACTACAGGCCAGGGAAGGGAGGGGGGGCAAGGAGATGTGTGGTTAGCAGGGAAATGGAGTTTCAGTGAAATGCATCTTTGTGCCAAAAAAATGTTTAGGGTGTTCTTGTCAAATGATAGCCCAGGGGTGCGTTTGCGTCTATGCGTGGTGGGACAGGAAGAGGATTGTGGGTAGCAAGACCCCGAGCTATTAAATGGGATCTTATCTGGGAGATGGGCTGGTCAGGCTGTGTGCCAACCTCCACGCGTGGGCTAGGAAAGCAGGCTAATGGCTGCCGGCCCACCTGCCAAAGAGCTGTCTATTCAGGCAGAGGGGGTGGTCCCTTCGCCTTTGGGTGGGGTAGCTGTGCAAAGATCGGTGGTGAGAGGCCCTAAGTTTGCAGTGACGTAACTGTAATGCTTGTGGCAGAATTCACTCTGGGCCATTGCTGGCCTGTCTCGTCGCCATTCCCCCAGTGATAGCTTAGGAAGGCAGGTTGGGGTTGGGGGGGGGGGGCATGGTCGATGCAGCCAGAAAAGTAACGAGTGCCTCTTCCAATCCCACCACGACCACGCTGCACACGCAGGCTAGCTCGCAAACCTGCACTGATCAGCACGGAAGCCTATTTCTGGAGCCCCTGAACCAGGAGTGCCGGAGTCTGCATTCCCGGCGACATTCCCGGGCCGCAATGGCGTGGCGCTTCCGAGGGGCGAGGCGGCCGTCAGTGCAAGAGATGGAGAAACGAGCGGCGGCCGCGTGAGACCCGCGCTCTGGCCGATGGGGGATTGTGCGGTCAAAGTCAAGGCCTCAAATGGGCTCATCTGTTTCGCCTGGGTTTCCACTCAACATTTGCATTGTTCTTTCTGCATCATTTAAAAAAAATAAAATGGAAGTGAAATTAATTCCTATCCAAATTATAATTTGTCGAATTTTTGGAGGTCTAATTGCATGAGTATAACCTAGCTCTTGTGCATGCTGTATTCTGGGTTAACCTTCATTCTGAAGCCATTGGCATGAAGGCTGTGAACTCAACACTGTGACACTCCTGTGCTGGACTTCAACGTGATACAATATATCCAAATTTGCCTATTTCACATCAAAATCAATAGAGGGCAGTTCAGGCTTAACTCTTGTGCTGTCAGTTTCCCCTTGAGGTGTTTTTGCCTGCAGGTGTTGAGTCAGTTGCAAAACAATAAAAGAAGTGGTAGGACAAAAAAAGACCAAGTTTCAAGTCATACTAATTTTGAAAATACATCTAGTCTATGGTATGTGAGGACCTTAGCTATTCAAAGTTAAGGAATGTTGCTAGGTTGTTTATGGGAAGCAATCAGATAAAATGACAGTGTTTGACAACTTCAGTTTGTGGAATGAAGGAATGAGCCAGCCTGTTTCAGCATGACTGGCAGTGGGTAAGGTTCTGTACCTTAAACTTTGCTGAGTGTATTTTATTTATTATTCCCCTGCCAAGTTTGGTGTTGGTCTGTTAGAGTGACCACGTTTGGAGGAAAAGCCCCGGTTACAACTGGTGAATAATTTTAAATTGTTGCAAGGCTAATGGTTTAACTTTTAAGGGAAAACGATTTAAGCATAATACATATCAGAATATGAAAAGTATTTAAGATGTATCACATGCCACGTTTCAAATGTCACTGACCTTGTGCCTTGACGCGTATTAGAATATTTTTCAGTGAGGCATTTATAGGTATGATATATGTGATACTGCAGTGATGTCTTTACATTAAAAACATTGACAGTCAAACTTTTTTCGCCTGTGTTGTGTTTAAGCTTTAAGTGACCATTTCACAGCTGTGACAGGTAATGTGGCCACATACAAGGACTGCAGGACTTCAGGGTAAGTTTGAAGTCAAACATATAAAGGCAGCATCTTATACAGGACTGTGTTGGGGAACATCCTCGTTCTGTTTGTCCATTAGTTTTCCAGAAATACTTATTCAATAAAGGCTTGATATGAGCCTATCATGATACGTGATATTTGGTGATTCTTCAGTAAGACCTGAGCATCTGCACCCTTTCTATCATTTGAAGTTAAAACATATGTTTTTAATTTTAACTAATCAAACTAATTAATCATTACTTTGCTAAATAGTACATAAAATTAACTATGATATTAAGAACATAAGAATGTAAGCTGCTAATGTATTTCTGCTGCATATTTAGCTAAAATTATGTACTCAGATTAAGTGTGGCAGTAAGTAATCAATGAAGAAAAACAAAGTGTAATAACTTTGTGTTTAGCCATTGCCTAGGCAAGTTTCCCTACTGGGTGGGGTTCCCCAGGGCACTCTGTGCTGGTGCGTCATACCTCAGGGGTTATGGGTGGAAATCGCACCAGCACTCCGGGGAGTTCTCAGGTTCTCAGTGTGTCGTGTGGGATTCCTCACACAAAGACATGACCTGTAACTTACATACCATGCAAATGAAAGTCTAGAACTGTTTTATGGATTGTGAATTCAGCAGGAGCTTCCAATTTCCTGAAGAAGGATAAAAGGGATGTTATAATGATTTATATCTGTGTGTCGACACAATGGATAATTATCTGTGTTAATGCACACATTGGATAGTTGATCTTTCTGCAGAGGGAGTAAAATCTTTCCGTGCCACGGGCATATGCCACTCGACATGCCACCGCTACGTGCGCATGCCACTCGACATGCCACCGCTACGTGCGCATGGCACTCGACATGTCACCGCTACGTGCGCATGGCAGTGGCAGCTGCCACTCCACATGTCACCGCTACGTGCGCATGGCAGTGGCAGCTGCCACTCCA